ATTACGAATTTGGTCTGATTTACATTTCAAAATGCGTAAACTAAAAGAGAACGGATAAAGTAGCTAAAATATAGAATACAGAGTATTTATCGTTCAAAAACGAGTGAGCTACGCGGTTATAGATAGTCCACGGCAATCTTGACGCTGATGTTTCGGGCGAGAATCTCAGAGAAACGAGGGACGAGTGTGCCACTGAAGATACTATCAGCCGCAATTTTTCCGAAGACACGTAAAACCCGTCGGGTTGAGTTTCGTGCGCAATTGCTTGATGCTACCAGTCACTTTAGCTCTTAACTGTTCTCCCTTGATTTGATTGGCAATGGTGACTGGAGGCAAAGTCAAGCGTCTTGAATATGAGTTGAAGAAGATAGGAACTGTCGAGGAGTCAGACGATGTTGTGCAAGGCGAATTTGGAGAAATTATCTGTATTCGCGGCGTAAAACGTAAGGATACTGTGGCAAAGCGCGAGAGCTAATTGATGATCAACGTCTGGCTTGTCTGATAAGAGAGCTTTAGGTATTGTAGTAGCTCCTGTGTGACCTTGAATGACACGCCTTGCATGTGGATGACGGTGAAGTGATTATATAGCGCAGATGAAAGATCACTTATTGCACCACTTACACTAACTTGTGTTCGGCTCGAGTTAGGCGGGATCATGATTGTCACTAGTTGATAGTTGATATGTATTTGCTGCTCGTGAACCTCACCCTTCTCTGTTGACCGGCATAAGCTTCTGTTTAAAAACGGGATTGAGCTATCCGAGTACCGATGATTCGGCGGTGTCGAGAAGACCCACTCACCGTTGGCGTTGCTTGATCATTGTTGTTTTTTCTCTTGCAATTGAGTTAAAGTAAGAAAAACAGATTAGAAAGGGAAAAGAATTGAAATGTGTGCGTATGGGTGGATATTGTGTAATTATCTTTTCTTTTGTCAGCGGGAAAAATGAATTTTTTTCCCCACCCTGCATGCAATAGGCCTCTAGCATTCAGATAGAGGTATACATATATCTCAGATATATTTCTGTTGACATTTGCTTCACATTTGTCATGTTTTCTTTCCGTGTAGAAGAAAAAGAGAAAAGAGAAAAGTTATAGGCTCGCATTTTGTTCTTTTATTGACAACGTGGCGGCGCAACAGAAAAGAAAATAATCTCTCCTTTCCTTGTATCAGTGGGGAAAATGAAATAATGTCATTTTTTTCCCACTCTGCAAACAATGTGTTTTTCAGTTTCTTCTTCCTTTCACACTCTTACCTAGGTATATAGTCAATCAGGTATCAGTGCCCCGTTCGTTTCTACTATACTTTTTACTTGTTAAACAGTACAAGCTTACACGAAAAAAATGGCGGAGGATGAAGAGATGACTGAATTCGATCAAGAACTGGATGCAATTATCCGAGAACATGATTCATTAACGGCATCCGTAATAAGTCAAAAAATGTATATCACCGACCAAAAACAATTACTAGATCGTTTGCAACGGATTGGGAATGTTTACCGTCCGCGAATTTTTAATCGTGAGTTTACTGAGGATGATTTGCAACAGTGGAACGATCAACTTGTAGAAATTAAGAAATACATTGCAATCGCTTCAAGTAAGTCAGTGTAACAAAACATTAACCGAGATTTTCACACCAAACGATATTTGATGGTCAAAATCCTTTTAAAAGAGCATCTATCTCATTTTAATAAAACGCATACCGTAAAGCTTTTCTTAAAGAGAAACTCCCATTCGTAAGTTAAACAAGGGTTATTTTCGCGTGATGAAAGAGGAAAAAAAGCAGAAAATAAAATTCATTTACTATTGGCCTGTTTAAAAATAAGGCATGCGAGTACTTTTTAAGTTTCTCGAGAATAAAATGTGGTAGAGAGTTTTGCGTTTTTACCATTCAAAAGAAGAGACTTTGGAGTACATTTTTACAACAGATATGATTCGAAAATAGGTTTTAAAGTAACTTTTCAGAAGATCTTTGGAAAACGAACTCATAGCTTAAAAACTTCAAGTACGAACAC